TCAAATTCAGCCTTCACGCACCCTCACGACTCACGTACGCACACGTCAAAGTTTAAACTGGCATCATGCCAACTCCGAATTTAAGGCGATCAATAAACTGCAAAGAGCTGCAGTTTTGCAGCGTTACTTGACACCCACTGTTGTGTCCATGAAAGTCCTTCTGCATCTCACGTACGAACACGTGTACACACGTGTGACGTAACTCTGCAACCAGAGCAGCTGGAGTGCTGAAACTTTTAGAGTGCCACCCAGGACCGTGTTTGACCAACTGCAGGCGAAGGAAGCATTCACGTTGCCACTCGCGTACGAGCACGTAAAATTTGACGTAACTCTGCAACCAGAGAAGCTAGAGTGCCGAGACTTTCTGAGCGTTACCCAAGGCCGTGTTTGAGTAACCGAAAACGAAGAAAGTATTCACTTTACCATTCACGTAAGAACACGTGAAATTTGACGTAACTCTGCAACCAGAGCAGTTGGAGTGCTGAAAATTTCTGAGCGTTATCCAGGGCCACGTTTGAGTAACCGCAAGCGAAGAAAGCATTCACTTTACCATTCACGTGCGAACACGTGAAATTTGACGTCACTCTGCAACCAGAGCAGCTGGAATGCTGAAACTTTCCGAACGTTACCCAGAGCCGTGTTTCAGTAACCGCAAGCGGAGAAAGCATTCACTTTACCATTCGCGTACGAACACGTGAAACTTGACGTAACTCTGCAACCAGGGCAGTTGGAGTGCTGAAACTTTCTGAGCGTTATCCAGGGCCGCGTTTGAGTAACCGCAAGCGAAGAAAGCGTTCACTTTACCATTCACATACGAACACGTGAAATTTGACGTAACTCTGCAACCACAGCAGCTGGAGTGCCAGAACTTTCTGAGCGCCATGCAGAACCGTGTTTGATCAACCGCGGATGAAGAACGCATTCACGTTGCCACTCACGTACGAGCACGTGATATTTGACGTAACTCTGCAACCGGGGTAGCTAGAGCGCTGAAACTTTTTGAGCGCTACTCAGGGCCGTGTTTGAGTAATCGCGGGTGAAGAAAGCACTCGCTTTGCCACTCACGTACGAACACGTGAAATTTGACGTAACTCTGCAACCGAAGCATCCAGAGCGCTGAATTTTTTGGGCATGGATTGGGAGTCATTGTAATAATTTTTAACAGTCTTGGTGGCCAGTCACAATTCTTTTAGCTAGAACCATCTGCCAGGAAGAACGTGCCACTGGCGAAAAAAACCTGCTGGGGGATCTGTGCAAAAAATTCGCATCCTCGTACCGACAGCCGGTACGCTTTCGACTAGGTTCCAGAATGCAAAAGTGACCTGCTTGACTATATGGCTGCATGAATACTAATGTACAGATTGTCTGACATGGTAATAATGACCAAAATTTAATGCCAGCATAATCTGACTTTACTTTCGCCCCCGCTTTGTATTGTGAGACCTGAACAACCCTATTTCACAGACTACAGCAAAATTTAAACAACAAATTACGCATATAAGCAGAGTTTTATAAGCCAAGATGG